CCAGAGCCCCACATTCCACACAGCATCCTGCTCAGGGCAGCATTTTGAAAGGTTTGGGCTTGCTCTGATCAATTCAGGGCAGATCTTCGCCCTCTGTAGTGAGTCAGACAGCTGGCAGACTGACGCATAGTTTTACACGGTATTTTCAGAGAACATCCCCTTTCCGCTGAAACATTTGGCCTCCATCATAAGCTGCGCACCACAAGACTGTTCCCTCTTCTGGGGGGACAGCGCTCCTGTAGCCTGCTTCAAGTCTCTGGCACGAGACGATACTGAAGCTTCACCTCTGAAATCCAAGGCGAGCACTCATCACCCTGCATTTCAAGTGCTTTTTGTTCAATTAAGTTGATTGATTTGACTATTTCCAATGCTAAGAAATGCAATTTTAAGGTAACTCTGCCCCGCAGTTTGTTCCCTACTGGAACCCACATAGCATACCTTGCTCACTTTAAAGTCCATGTAGCAGGTACAAAACGGCACACGCAGTTCCTTACCTTTCCAGCTCCTATGACTTTCTCCGCCGCATAAACAGAATCGCCACACCTAGAGCATTTCTCTGCCCCTCCGAACTTCTGAGCAAACTTTGAAGTGTTTGGATTTGTTGTGGGTCGGTGGGGAGAGGGCGTGCTGAAAGAAACGGGGTATTTGTTGTCTTTACTCTTTTACTAAATGACCTCTTGCTCTTCTTAACGACACTAACAGAGCAGCATCCAACACACAGTACAGAATACAGTACTTTTGCAAAACTGGAGAAGTAAGTTACCAGCAAGGCTATCCAATTACACCTGGGGGGGCGGGGAACCAAACCCAAAAAACACACCAAGAAGAGAAAGGCCATGCTTCAAAGGATAAAAAGAACCTACTGTAAAAGCTAGTTTTCTGAGGAGCCTTCACCTTTTCACTTCTCTAGAAATGCTGAATTCTGTACGAGGACGTGGATTTATCAGACAGTAAGCTACAAGTAATTCTGTTAAATTCCTGTTCACTGATCATAATCTGGAACCTGAACTGATCACTGAACCTGGCTGGAGAGCATATGTCAGATAAACGTCAAGCAGTAATTTGGGAACTTGCATGAAGCAAGTTGTGAGGCATTCCTCAGCTTCTTTCCACATGCTCTACTTTACAGCAAGAACTTAATCAGACTAGGAATGTTTACTATTTAATAGGCCTTTTGGTTTTGGCTATAATTAAGCACAAATGGTTCTTCATTTGCCAGTTAAAAATTCATTCTTCCTGTAGCCCCAGACTCTCAGCTCTCCGAATCCATCCCTGCCAGAACCTGTTGAACATTTGCACTTGCAGCTTATTTAGGAGAGCGACTCGAGACCCACAGTCACCTCTGTGGGCTTGTGCAGAGCCATCAGCACCTCTGTAATCCAGTCCCCTATGGCTCATGCATAGGATTAGTGCATCTTTACCTGCACTAACTCCTGCTCGTACAGTGCCTGCTCACATAGTCACCAGTGGAAGCTTTGTGCACCGCAGGTTCAACGCCCTGCATTCGGTTATACTGCATTGATATTCCAGACAACATGAACTAAACAAAATCCAGCCTGAAAGACTCCTCTGAAAACAGTACTGAAGGACAAGGGTCACACCCCCCCCAACTCAGTTCACTCACCTCTCAGGCTTGATGCCGAGCCTCTCTCCCCTGTCCATGTTCAGCGTGCCTGCCCCTTGACCATATCCATAACCTTTCGGGCCATACTTTTTCCCATAGCAAGATTTGCAGTAAACTTCAGCATCATGAATCGCTACAGTTGTGCTGTCCAAGTTTTTCCGGCAGACCACTGGAGGGGAAAAAAAAAAAAAAGGTTGAACTGCCTTAAGGGACCATTTCCATCAGCACATGTAGTAAGCCAAAAATCAAGTGAGAAGTGATGTTATGGGTTTCCTTGTCCACAATTCTTCTAGGTTGTGGGACCACCAGAGATTAGTGGGAGCAGGTTGTCGTTTGAATTAGTGAATTATGCTTAGCCCTGTACAGGGCTCTATTCCCTCCCACCTCTTCATGACCGTGACATTTAAAGCCTGGAAACTTGCTGTGGTTTGATGAATGAGGCTGCTCAGAAACCCAGATAGTGCAGTCAGCAGTTTCCCTTTACGGGTGCCATACAGCATGAAGCAAAAGTCTGTCAGTGCAGAAGAGCCCCTGTCCTGCCCTTTTGGCCAGGGTGGGGCTGGGAAAAAAAACAACCCTTCAAGGTTTTTGCCCTGCCTCGGTACTGGTTTGGGGCAGAGTTGGGACTGTTTCACAGCTGTCACCGGAGGGGCTGTGCTTTTCTGGCATTCCTACATTGTCCTTCAGCACAATGCAAGCACTCTGCTCAAGGTTACAGCAGAAGGCAGAACTGTTTCCTTCTTAAACCTTCTTTTGTATCCCAACTGGCACGCTCTTTCCATCTGCAACAGCATTCTGACTGTGATAAAGAATTTGGGGAGAAAAAAAAAGAAAGAAAGAGCTTTATGAATTTTTTGTTTAAAAAGAATTTTAAGGTCTTCAAAATACAGGGTGACCTTTGCTTATGGCATTCATTAGCTCCAAGGCTCTTTTTATAAGACACAAATATCCAATAAGTAAATCAACTAATGCATGTTTGTTAAGTCTACAGACTTTAACCCCAACAGAACTATGCACTAAGGAAAAGCAAATACTCAGACACACACTAGAGCCATTGTTTGACTGTTAAGTTCCAGGTTTCTTTTAATAGAAACTCCCATAAAAGGCTGAAAATGAGGCAGCCAAGACATCTAATCTTTTTTTTGTGACTGCTATAGAGGTAAGGGAAAGGAGTGCAGGTGCGCCGAGGCTCACATGCCAGCACAGCGCACGGACGTTTTGCTGCAGACTAACAGCAAACTAGTTTGAGAGGGCCAGTTGTAACTGTGGCTTACATGAAGAGGGCTAAAGCATAGCTCTGCCCATAGGTATTAAACACCAGCAAGCAGGACAAAACAGTACCTCATGTTTGTAGTAAGGTAAAATTCTCCGATTCAGACAGACAGGCTGTCTGTTTGCAAAGTAGGAGCCTCCGATTCACAGCGACCCTTTGTTCCCTTCATCTAAGCAGAGGTCTTTTCAGCAGAGAAAGCGATTTTCAATGCCTCGCTGGGCTTGTTGGTTGGACTGGAAAATAATGCTTTGGACTCCTTTCATCTGAAATAAACCACACGCCCCTGTGCCAAGAAAGTCTAGGCTTTTGGCTGCGCTCAAGCATCGACAACTCAGCTGTGCTCAGGCACGCTGGTGTCCCGCTCTGCGCGGGACTTCAGGGCAGGGGTTCGATAACTGTTCCTTCAGCTGCTGCCGGCCCCGGGATCACCGGGAGAAGTCCAGCTGAGCTCAGATCAGTGCAAACAGGGCTCTGCCACTGGGCTTTCTCCTCTGCCTGAGCAACGCTTAAGCCAGGTTTCCATCCTAAAGATCCCTTAGACTCCTGAGGAGATGGCTGGGAGGGGGGCAAACGGAGGAGAAAAGCATGATGTGCTCTGCTTTGGGAGGCGCATCCCACCCCTCCCACGCTGGACAGGTAGGATAATACCTTTCCAGGAGACAAGCTCTCCCTTTGGCACCGCCAGGCCCCGGAAGCATGTGGGGAAGCAGGAGTCAAGCCCAACTCGTGATGGACAGAGACATCTCTGGCCACTGCCATCCCCTGTGCATCAGGGGTGCCAGCTGAGCCTGGGACATCTCCTGTGGACCAGCACGTTGCTGTTGTGACCCCACAGCTATGCCAGGAGAGGTTTTGCAGGGGAGCGGGAGGGAAATACTTACTGCAGAGGAAGCAGCACCGGTGGAAGCTCCTCCCGTCGCACTGCACCTCCTCGGCATGGTAGACAGTGCGGCCACAGGCACCGCATTTGTTGCCGCCTCCCCAGTTCGGCATGGTGGCTCTGCGTGCCCAGCCAGGCAGGAGGGGAGAAGGGGAAAGGTTTGTTAACCACGGTGTCCTCCACCACCCCAGCTCGAGGACAGCTGGGGTTACAGGCTCCTTTAAACCAGGTCTGCGAAGTTTGTATATCAGAGCACAAGCCTGTGATTTTGCCAACTGTTTAAAAATGTGACCTTCCACTGTGTGAGAAGTTTTTGTGATCAGATCAACTTCTCAGCCCTTCACATCCCAGACCAGACTTAAAGGCTTAGGCGGGCTCTCTACAGCTATTTGTAAAAGCAGATGGACTGGCAAGGCGAACAGAGGCCACTGCTGCTGAACAGCAAGGAAAACAGAGACACAGTCTCCACCAGACATGTCCTCCTGTCCCTTCCCGGGGTTTTGAAAGTTACATAAATTGGATATGCATAAATTACAGCTTCATGCACAAGGGCTTTACTGTACCTTGAGTGAACACCCCCCCAGATGGATATAATTTCAGTTTCTACGCTTCATTAACACTGGGCCTCTCGTCTGACGGAAGCAAACCAATTGTGCCAACAACGGCATTTTGTTTTACTGCAGGGCCTATCATTTGGGATGCAGTGGAAGCCAAAGCTCACCTCACCGGAGAACCACTTATTAGGGCTGTAGGGACATTCTGAACTCCTCTGAGATCATGCCTGCGCTTCAAAGAAGTTTAAAGGGGATTATTTTGTGGGGACTCCACCACTATTACATGAACTGCACTTTTACCAGGCAGGTAGATGAACCAAACCCAACTGCTCAAAGAGCCACAGCTGCTTTAAACTAAAGTAAAACTCCCTCTCATGCATCACTTGCAATGGACACTCAGAAGGCTAGTGGGGAGGGACAGGCACCATCACCCATCATGTCAAACTACAGCCTTGGGAACAGTCTCCTACATTAAGCCAGAAGCAGCAGCTGTCCCATCTCAAGCTGAGCTGCCCCCTCCCCAGCTCCCCTGCGCTCGTGCCATCACCACCAGCAGTTCCCACCCAGCTCGACTGGGAGCTCCTCCTGCTCCTCCCATTAACCGTCCTGGGTTAAAGCACCAAAGCAGAGCACTGCCCGCCACCTTCAGCTTCCCTCCTCCCACCACCACCACGACAAACACTAACATAGCAGTGTTGGTTGAAGGCTCATCTCCCAGTCATCGCTGAACTGCCCGTGACTCGTGACTGACTTAATGACTCAGGTAGTGCTGGTTTGCTGCCCTGCAGCTCACCACCAGAGGAACACCTCTTGTAAGCATGGAGGCCAACAGCAGCCAGAGAGAGGGTTATCGATTCAGTGAGTCTAACCCAGTGGAGCTGCTCAGGCCTCAACAGCCTCCCTGCTCCATACTGACCCTCGTTTCAGACAGGGTTTCTGGGCAAGGACCATGGGTTTGCCCACTGGAAGCCCAGAGGGCACCGCCTGCCACCCTACCCCACTGGCAGCACCATTCCCTCCCAGCAGGCTCCCCACAGCAGCACTGTGGTACGGGTCAGCAATCAGGGAGGGAAGGAAGAAATTTATTTGTCGTGAGCTTCTGATTTCTCTCGGCACAACCCACCTTCAGCTACCCTTAGAAGCTCTCCTGTGTCAGTCATACAGGGCAAAGAGACACATGACGGCATCCCCACACAACGCCCACAACCCACTCACTGCCTTCAGTCAGCTTTGCCGTTCATCCCTCCGAACCAGAAGCAGAGGACTACCGATCTCCAGTTGTCCCCCTGGCCAACAGAGAGCAACTGGAAGCGCCACCGTGACACAGGGAGCCAGAGAAGAGCACTTTGCTTCAAGATCCCCTTTCTCTAAGGGGCTCTCACCGATGCGTGGGAGAGACTTCAGTGCAGAGTGAGGGGTCTCGCGGGCACCTGGCTGCTGCCTCGCGCTCCCCAGGCAAGGTAAAGCAGACTTGCAAATCACACCACTGAGCAGCAGTTTTGGCTAAGCCTGAATTAAGTGACCCATCTTGCTAGTGCTGCTAAAACAAGCCTCCTGCCCAAGCAGCCTGACCAGTAGTTCAGCAGTTTTAGGGATGCAGGGAAGGCTGAGTGGTTCCCAAGTAGGACATGCTGCCAAGTAGCTGCTACAAGACCTTTGTCCAAGACAAGCAGACAGCCATTCATGGCATGTGGGAAAATAAGATTAGTTTATTAACCTAAATTGGGGCATTTTAGGTACATTCCTAAGCAAAGGCTTAGGAAACTTCCTCGGAGTGGCTGAGCGGTGCCATTTGCACACTGACACTAATTACTGAGAAATCCCTTTGTTTAATACTTCCACAGGATTAGCACCATTACTGCTCCATGGTTTAGCACTAATACCCTGACTGAGCTCATAAAATTAGTTTTATGACATTTCCCACTTTGCCTTTGTCATTCTTGGCACAACTGTAGAGTCTAAAAATTAAGATTCCATTTCTTTTATTCAAGTGCTTGGCTGTGCTACCGCACAGCAGCTGACATCAATCATGGCAAAGAGCATCCTTAGTTAAAGGGAATATAGGCTGCACAAAGCTTTGGAAAAGGAATGCATGGATGGGGGGGGGGGGGGGGGGTGGGGAGAAAAAAAAAAGAAGAGATTCTTTTACCCTTT